GGTTACAGCCCAGTGAAACCAGTAACACACACCAGTAACACAAACTGGATTTATTTCTATCAGTTAAACAGACTGGATCAAACTGGATTTATCTGATGTCAAAGTGACAGGATGAAGCCTCCTGCTGATCAATAATCAATAATCACCTCGTCTCTGCTGATGAGCTCGTTGGAGAAGGTCAGGCCGGGCATCAGGCCTCTCTTCTTCAGCCAGAAGATCGCAGCAAAGGAACCAGAGAAGAAGATTCCCTCCACGGCGGCGAAGGCCACCACACGCTCACCTGAGGAACCACAGAGTCACCATCAATACCTGATCAATATGTGATACCTGATCAATACCTGATACACAGATCAGTATCAGAGCTGACTGACAGCAGGAACAGGAAGGGAGCAGGTTTACCATATTTGGCGCTCTTGTTGCCGATCCAGTTGATCGCCCAGTCAGCCTTCTTCTTCACACACGGCAGAGTCTCGATGGCGTTGAACAGGTATTCTCTGTGGGTCATTGAACACACCATCAGTAACCAGTAACAGACACCAATAACAGACACCAGTAAGATCCCAGTAACCAGGTCATCACCTCTCTTTGGGCTCCTTGATGTAGGTGTTGATGAGGAGGCTGTACATCTCTGAGTGGATGTTCTCCATGGCGATCTGGAAACCATAGAAACACCTGGCCTCCGTCACCTGCACTTCCTGTGTGAAGCGCTCCACCTGGTGGGAAAGAGACGACACTCAGTCATCAGCTCATCTCAAACTATTGATCACTGATTGATTGCGTTATTGGTTGGTTACTTTTATTTTACATATTTTTCCCTTCTGACAGAAGCGTTCATCACACATGACATCGGACATATGTAAATCCAACAATAAAGTTTCTGTAAAGTTTCTCGAAGCGATAAATGGCTTCGTTAAGGCATTAAATAAAATAAATACGCTGGTTTTGGAGGGCACATCTTCTTTAAAAATCTGCAGTAAAATAAATACAACCATTCAAATTTGGACGCCCCTCCTGTAAAATTAAATATATGCCCCTCCTACAATTATTTGAACTGCCTCCACCCTACTCCCAGTCATGAACAAACAGTCCCTCAGACCACATGATTAAATAGGAAACTGCTTATTAATGAAAGTATAGTTTTAAATGTTTCGCTCAGCAGCAGTAAACGTGTCTGACAAGACACCAAATCTTTATATTTTAAGCTAAATGTGAAAAATGTCACATTTGTTGTATTTGACTTTCTGATCTGAATAATTAATAAACATCCTATTAATTTAAATCATAAAATCACAGCATTAATGTGATGATGATCAATAATGAATCAATAACTGATCTGAGAGCTGATGTTTCACTTCAAGAGCTTTGCTTTGGAGTGCTGCAGGAATGAGCCCTACAATGTTGAAATGTGTTGGTGTGTTAGCATGTTAGCACTTCCTGTTCTCTCAGTTTGAGACCTTCAAATTTTGTTCTCCGACATAAAACACATCAGTAAATCGCCCGGCATCCGTTTTGAAACTTTTATGCGTCTTTAAAATGGCAGTTGCTAACAAGTGGCTAAATAAGACTACAGAACACCGTCATGCCAAACATGGTTTTACGGCCATGTTGTGGTGGTGACTTAAAGCCATGTGACTGTGGTGTATGTTGTTTATAGTGACATGTGGGCGGAGCTCACCAGATTCTCGTTGACGATGCCGTCGCTGGCGGCAAAGAAAGCCAACACGTGAGAGATGAAGTACCTCTCCTCGTCCTTCAGAGACTCCCAGTGCAGCAGGTCCTTCGACAGATCCACCTTAACACACACACAGAACGTTAACATGACATCAGCTGTGACATCATCTGTGATGGACCTCAGTTCATCAGAGCAGACATTAGCCGTTTATAATATTAGAGATGATGGTACTGCATATGTACTGCTGTATTTCTCAGAGCTCTCAGACAGAGATGGGAGCGGTCTCCATGGTTACCTCCTCAGCGGTCCAGAAAGACGCCTCAGCCTTCTTGTACATCTGCCAGATGTCGTGGTACTGGATGGGGAAGATGACAAAGCGACGAGGGTTTTCCTTCAGCAGAGGCTCCTCCTCTTTCTCCCTGCTGCTGCTCTTCTTCACTGCTTTGGGCTGAGAGACAAAACACACAACTGTCAACATCACACAATATAACACACCTGCACACAAAGGTTTATACTGATATTAAGTTTGGCTGGATACAGTGGAAAGGTCTGAATACATTTGTGGGGGAATGCAGAAGAAATATTCCACATTAAAGTAAAACATTTAGATAAAAAACTGAAACACGAAAATGTAATTTATTTTCTAATTAACAAACAGAAGTAAGTAACTGTTATTGATAAGGGAGGAGTGGTGCAAAAAGATGGAGACATGTAAGGTGTTTTCTTTGTGTTTTGGCAACCTTTATTTCTTCTTTTAAAATTATTGATTTCTTGTCTTCACCAATGAGTAAGTTTTATAAACTAATAGCTTATTTCAGGGTTGGGGGGTCGTGGATTTTCCTCCAGTCACTCAGAGAAGATCGAGGAAAAATATTTGGAGCTTCAGGGAGGATCAGAAAAGAAAAACCAGGTCACACCCAGCCTCCCTCCTCCTCTGATAAATTAAGAACACCCCCTAAGGCAAACAGTAACAGCTGATTGTTTGGCGCCAGAACCATATTTTAGGCGCCACATGAGCACAACAATCAACACTATCTAATAATACTGTATTTTAATATGAGATGAAGATGATGTGAGTTAGATGAAGATGATTAAAGGTTTCAGCAGATCTGTACTCACCGCAGCGTCGTCGAAGATTTTCCGCGCGGTTTTAGACGCCAAGATCCGGGTCGTGTTCAGACTCGGAGGCTGAAAGATCAATGACAAGAACCCCTCAGTGAACAGATCAATACTCTGATACTGGATCAATACTCTGATACTGGATCAATACGTTTGATTGATGACATCAGACTGAAACACACATTAACTACAGGACCGTCACAAGATGGCTGCCGTGAGGTTAAAGTGTCCAACACTGTGCTGGGACCTTAAAGTGACATGAGACGTTATAATGACACATGAAACATGAGTGTGTGTCTGAGTTCTCACCGTGTTTTCTTTGTCCAGCGACATGTTGTTGACCTGACTGATGACGCCGTTTTCATCCTTGACGGAAAGAGGAGAGCGAGCAGAAAGCATTTTGATTTCCTCCCTTCACGCGGACACACGAATAAAAGACACGTTAACCGATTAAAAGTCGGTTAAAAAGAGAAGCAGCAGCAGCAGCAGGTTTATTGCGGAGCGGCGGACACAGACAGAGAGCAGACACACTGAAGCGGCTTCTGACCGCTCGAGCCTTTTTTATTGAAATCTTGGCGCTAGAACGCAGCCGGCCAATAGGAACACAGCTCGTGTTGGCTCTTTAACAGTGACGCTGAGACGGAGCCAATCAGGTGGAGAGCAGCGGTCACGTGACGCCCGGGCAGCTGCGGGAGATTCAAACGTCTTTGTCTGTGAGAAGTTACAAAACTGTCCGAAACCGGTATTACAAAACTGTTAAAATCAGCGTTTACACAACGTTTATGATTTAATAAAAACACGCGTTTATTTTACAGTAAAAACTGTTAAACTGTGATTCTGACACTCAGTGTGAGAGGGAAACATTACTGTTACAATCCCAGAAAATAAATCTGATTTCCGTGATAAGATTTTAGCTCTGTGTTTCATAAACGTCTGAAAGAGTGTGGATGAGTTAAACTGTCACAGAAACACAGCTGGGACATAATTAATAATTCTGTTTATAGATACACTTAAACTGCACATAAGATATGTGGAAACAGATAATAACTGTGACCTGTTTCTTGAGTCAATTTCTGGTTTGTTTCCCGCTGCCGCCAATTTGTTGGTCGCTGATGTAAAAGATTACCCAACTGCAGGCAAGATGGCGGACAAGGGCGCCGCCATATATCCAATCCATACCGGAAGTCCATAACGGAAGTCATTTTTTTTTCTTTTTTTTGCTTTTCCCCCCCAGAAGTCGGTTTTTAAGTCTGTCTTTTTTATATTATTTATTTTAGCAATGCATTTACAAACTTTAAAGCAGTCAACAATGGTAAATATATACATATGTTATAAAAATAAATAAATAAATAATAATAATAATAATAATACAATTATTTAAGCAATTATTATACAATACAATCATGTTTTGTTTGGAATAACAATGACCCCAACAAGTTAACCCTACAAAAATTGCAGCAAATCAGCAAACACGTGAATTTTAGTTGATTTAATTTTTAACAAAGTTTAAATAAGGTGAGCACTTTCAGTTATTGGGCTACAGTGGCAACATGCAGATTACTGTCAGGTCATTCAAAACAACTGAAAACCATGGACACAACAAATGTCATACTTACTCTTAAATCAGTATGGTTAATTGTAACTATATAACTATTAAATGAACGTAATAATTAGATTGTCATATTGTCAGATGTATTCTATTATATTTCAGCAATACAGGTAAACACAATATTACACTATTGTAATGGCAACATAAAGAAGTAGACTTGGAGTTCTCTCTTTTTTGTGAACAAGTTTTTATTCCAGATATCCATATCAATCTCAAAAGTAGAGAAAAAACAAAGGAAAAAAAAAAGGAAAAACAGTAAAATAATTTATTTGTTTGGCCTATAAAATGTAAGAAAATGGTATAAAATGTCAACCACTGTTTGCCAAATCCCAAGATGCAACCTAAAATGTCTTGTTTTGTCCCAAACAAATATCATTAAACATTACTGTTACATGTAGAAGTATATGATCTCAAACAGATACTTCTCATCAACATACCATGGAAATGAACTGCATTTTCTGTGTGGTTTTTCAGGTGCCTCTGGATCGCGCTCTCATTTTTGGTTTTAAATTTGGGGCAGAGAGGACTCCCAAACTTGGATGGTGAAAGGGTTGTGTGCCCCAGACTGGCTTCGTCATGCAAAATAGAGGGGTGCATCTGAAAAAAGGAGAAGTCTGGAAAACATAGTGAACATCAACCATATTTTACCGATCTAAAGGACTCATGGTGGAGGAAGCACTACAGCTATTTATGTATCCACATGTGTATGTGTATTAAGTGCTCTGATGCATTACTAAAACATAATACAAATGTATTTTTTGCAGACACCCGGGGCTATGTATACGTCTCATACGACATGAGACGACTCTTGTTATTATTTTTAGAATATCTCTGGGAAAAAAAGATGTATAGAACTTCTAAATTAACACGATCAAGCGAAGGCAGTAATAGCCTCTGACCAACATTAACACTGTTTACACACAGACATTGATGAAAAGGAGCACAACAGACCTTGAGCAGCTGACGTTAAGTTAATACCAATCATGCCCTCGTTTTTACGCAACAAATAGCTAAACCCACCATCCCGTGGTAGTAATTTGTGCATGCCGAGATTCCCCACATAGACGTCCCCCTAATTATTCGATCCATTACACAGAACTGCATCTTAGAGAACATAACGCACGTGTTAAAAGATAATGAAGATGACGGCCGCATGTAAACGCAGCGGCTTGGTACTCTTTGCTAGTACTGTTCCTTCTGGTCTTTGTATGTTATTCTGAACTGTTGATGGCTCTTTGCCTTTAATATTGTCACCCCCAGACCCAACTCAACTTCCTTTAGGTAAAATCTGTTTCTCCACCTATAAAGGCTCCAATTCTAAAATCAGGTCATTATTTCAGGCAGATTTAGTCTCTACCTCTCCTGCAACCTTCTGCTGGAGTAAATTTGTCCCTAATGTTGACTGGGAAAAAATCTGGTCCCTACCACAGAAGTTCCTTTTAACTAACAAAACCAAAGAAGTGTCTTTTAAGCTGCTCCACAGGTTTTACCCAACAAAAGTGCTCTTACATAAATTCAAACAGCATATTGATGTGCACTGTTCCTTTTGTGGTTTGCACCCTGAGACTATCACACATTTATTTTGGTCTTGTGAATCCACACATAATCTATGGAAAGATATTAATTCATTTGTAGTCAATAACATTTGTCTAAATTTTACTTTATACTACCATAATGTCATCTTTGGATATTTTGACTATAATAAGAGCACTAATGTTTTTTTTCTTATAAACCTGATTTTGTTTGTTGCCAAATTCCATGTCCATAAGTGTAAATTCTCAAAACAAAAACCTCTTTTTTTGGTGTTTAAAGCAGAATTTGAAAAATACATCGCAACTCTATCACATATACAAAACAAAAAAGCTCTTAAAACAATTACCATCAGTACTTTGTTTAATGTGTTTATTTGAAAATGCTCTTGTTTTTACTAATTTCATTTTTCTGTTTATTTTTATTTAATTTTTATTTATGTTTTCAACCTTTATGTACTTAAGTTTCTCTTTTATCAGAGCAGTGATGCATTTGATGTTTCATACTGTTACTATTGTTATTATTTTCAATAAAGTTGATTGGAAAAACAAAAAACAACCTCTATGCTAGCACTAGCTACTAGCTAGTACTGCTAGTACCTAACAGAATTTCGTTGTGCAATGTAAAATGACAATAAAGTTGTCTAATTCTAATAATTTAAAGACTCGTTCCCTTACCGTTCTTTCTATTACTCGTGCGTGTATTGCTCGTTTACTTGTCTTGTCATCTCTTCGTCTTCTCCATCGGCTTCTTCTTCTTCTTCTTCTTCTTCTTCTTCTTCTTCTTCTATGGAGTTTATTGGCGGTTGGAAACCAACTTGAAGGTGCATTACCGCCACCTAGGACTGGAGTGTGGGGCAGTAGATTTGCAGACAAACAAAACAAAAAGGGAGATTAAATCCTCTCCATCAGCCGTGTATCTTTTATATATGATTAGATGTTTGAGTATATTATTTGACTCTACTCCGAGCAGGTTCCCTGTACTTAAACATATCTTGGCCATCTCTGCTGCTGTCATCAGTGCCCTCCTTTCCTCCTCATATGCTCTACACTTCAACACAACATACTGGACAGATTCAGACTGACCTACATTTGCCATCAGGGTGTTTGCCTATTTTATGTGGTGTATTATTCAGTCCTGTGTGCCCTATCCTAAGTCGTGTGATGACTGCTTCTTCCCTCCGGCTCCTGCCCATCCTTCTTTCTGTATATTATATACAGTCAGGTCCATAATTATTTGGACAATGATACAGTTGTTGTCATTTTGGCTCTGTACACCACCACAATGGGTTTTAAATGAAACAATGAATACCTGCTTAAAGTGCAGACTCTCAGCTTTCATTTAAGGCTTTTTTCAAAAATGTAGTATGAACCGTGTAGGAATTACAACCATTTCTTCACACAGTCCCCCAACTTTAAGGGCTCATAAGTATTTGGACAAACTAACATAATCATCAATTAAACAGTCAGTTTTAATACTTGATTGCAAATCCTTTACAGTCAATGACTGCCTGAAGTGTTGGACACATAGGCATCATCAGATGCTGGGTTTCTTCCCTGGTGATGCTCTGCCAGCCCTTTACTGCAGCCGTCTGCACTTCCTGCTTGTGTTTTGGGTGTTTTGCCCTCAGTTTTGGCTTCAGCAAGAGAAACGCATGCTCAGTTGGATTCAGGTCAGATGATATGACTTGGCCATTGCAGAACATTCCACTTCTTTGCCTTAAAAATGTCTTTGGTTGCTTTTGCAATATGCTTCAGGTCAATGTCCATCTGCACTGTGAAGCATCGTCCAATGAGTTTTGAAGCATTTAGTTGAATCTGAGCAGATAATGGTGCCCCAAACACTTCAGCTTTCATCCTGCTGCTCTTGTAAGCAAGACAAGACTTCACTAGAATAAATACAGAGGGTTTATCACAAGATGCAAACCATTGGTTAGCCTTAAAAATGGAAGGCCAGATTAGAGTTTGTCAAAAACCATCTAAAAAGCCTGTACAGTTGTGGAACAGCATACTATGGACAGATAAAACAAAGATCAACTACCAGAATGATGGGAAGACAAGAGAAGGAAGAAGGGAAGGAACTGCTCATGATCCAAAGCACACCACCTCATCAGTGAAGCATGGTGGAGGTACTGTTATGTCATGTGCATGTATGGCTGCCAGTGGAACTGGTTCTCTTGTATTTATTGATGATGTGACTGCTGACAAGAGCAGCAGGATGAAAGCTGAAGTGTTTAGGGCACCATTATCTGCTCAGATTCAACCAAATGCTTCAAAACTCATTGGACGATGCTTCACAGTGCAGATGGACAATGACCTGAAGCATACTGCAAAAGCAACCAAAGACATTTTTAAGACAAAGAAGCAGAATGTTCTGCAACGGCCAAGTCATATCATCTGACCTGAATCCAATTGA